TTTTCTTATTTCGTGTAGGATATTCCTCTGCTCACTGACTCTAAATGACACTTATTCATTTCTCACATAATCAGTCCAATTGATCTCCTCCATCCTTCTCCAACACCACATTTCAAAGCTTTCCAGGTGTTTCTGATCTACTGCCCTAAGTGTCCAAGTTTCAGCCCCATACAAAGCAATGCTCCAAATGTAGCATTTCACCAGTGTCTTTCTCAAATTTAAGTCTGTTGGCCCAATATGAAAGAAAAAATTGAAGAGTAAATGAGAAAGTGTACTAAAATATCAGTTGAGTAAAGAACTCAGAGGAAAAAAGGAAGTGCCTTTGGAAATAACCAAACCAGTCAACCATACCTTTGAGAAGTGTTCCTTGGATATTGTGGGGCCGTTGGTAGAGAGTGAAGCAGGAAATAAATACTAATGTTCCGTGATGAATTCAGTACACCTCTTCCTGCAGCATGATGGAGAAACTGTCGCTGAGCCGTTTGTATTGAATATTGTTTTGAAATTTGGGGTCCCTTCAAAAATTTTGACTGACCAAGGGTCAGACTTTCTGAGCAGAGTTTTCAAGAACATTTGTAAGTTACTAAGGACCAGAAAGATGCAGACCACAGCATCTCACCCAGAGTCCAATGTTGGTTTAGAGAGAAGTCATAGGGTTCTGGTGGAGTACACCTCTGACACTGCATATGAGAGGATCGGCATTACTAGGATGAACTTTTGCCATAAGCAGTTTACATGTACCACACAAGTACACATACTGTCACCAAATGCACACCATTCATACTAGTATGTGGGTTCATCTCCGAAGTGCAATCTGCTCTAAGAGATAGTCCCAGCATACAGTATGATTATGAGGACTACCTCACATAATTAAAGGGGAGACTACAATATGCACATGAATTGGCAAGGCAAAAACTAATCCTATGCAAGGAAAAAAGCTAGGAACAGTGTGACAATGGGGACAGGACCATTTAAATTAGATGTTGGTCAGTAGGTATTACTGTATGACGAAACAATCCACAGGAGTAGATCAAAGAAACAGCCCTCGGTACATTCTGCCCTATGAAGTGTTATCTGTAAATGGGGTAAACACTATGATCAAGATGGAGCGCTATGCACAGCGAGTACATGTTCACTGACTGAAACCATTTTACTAAGCAGATGCCATATAAAGGGTGTTCAGTGATGCAGGAAACCTGGGAACAGTGTTGAGCGGATGCAACATTTCTCAAAGATTGCTACTCTAACTGCAAGTAGCAGACTGAGTTGTTAGCACTGATGAATGTGTGCACTCTTACTAGCGTAGAGCAGATGGAACATTTGTCCTTGACTAATGCACCCTTCCCCGCTAGCGAGAGTGCAGTCATGTTGCTGATTCCCTCACATCAGTTTCTGTACATGCTCACATTTACAGGAGTACTGTAAAAAGATAACATAACTTAGTGTGCTTTATAACAGGTGCTGAAAGTCACGCCCCTTTGCTTGCAATTATGCCTTGAATCGCATAGATAAATCATGCGACAATTTCTGAAGTTGACCCATGGTAATTGAACCAGTTACACATGTTATTGCATTCTGCATGGCTTCAGTGTCTCGAGGATTATTCTTGCAGACTTTTCCCTTTAGGTTTTCCCAAAGATAAAAATAGCAAAATCTGAGATCTGGGAGGCCACAGTCCCCTGCTGATTATTCTATCTTCAAATACTTCCTGTATTGCGACCATGGTTGCATTAGCCGTATGTGCTGTAGTGTTTTCTTGCTGAAAATACCCATATTGTCTTTCTTTAGCAGTCAGCTGTTTGAAGAACGGTTTCAGTATATCATTAATGTAGAGGTCAAAGTTTACAGTTTTGTGGAAAAATACGGGGCCAGTGATTCGCTGCAGATTTACAGCACACTATGCCCCCACTTTTTCACTATGTAATGGCACTTGCTGTATAGCGTGAGGATTTTCATTACTCACTCCATATTCTTAACTTTTTGTGCATTGACATGACCACTAACGTGAAACCATGCTTCACCAGTCATGAACAGAAGCTGTGAATCCATGATTCCATCATACACATTTTGCAGCAGCCACTTGCAAAAACGAATTCTTGTTGCATAATCTGGTCGTTCCAGCTCATGCACAACTTATTTTATAGGGGTGAAATTTGATTAATTTTGTGGCTGTTTAAGCAGATCCTAGCGAAACACCAGTTTCATGTGCTAAGGGTCTTCATGATTTTCGAGGACTGATCTCTAGTTCTGCTTGAATATCCCAAAACTTTTCTTCAGTCAGCACAGTCCTCTTCGATTGCTTCTTTATGTCACTTACTGAACCTGTGGCCCACTACTTTTTCATGAGCTTGGATGCACAAGACTGTGGGAACTGGCGAGTCAGGATATTTACGACAATACTTACAGATACATTTTCTGTAAGTTTTTTCATTGCAGAAGTTTCGACAATGAACACGCTATTAAATACTGAACATCATTTTAGTATGAACGTTGACTGCCTATTGACATCTCCAACAAAGACACACTATTAATGTGACATACTGCAGTGACAAGATCAGACCACCTGACAGCGTGCGTTAATCAGTGCTAATGACTCATTCTGCTAATGGCAGTTACAGCAGCAATCTGTGAGAAATGTTGTTTCCGCTTGATGCTCTTATCAGGTTTCATAGTCACCCTGTGTTTCCTATGGAAGTAAGGGCGTAGTAACTGTATACAATGTGGAATGGAAAACCATTCTATATGTAAATCGAGACTAAATTAATAATGAAACTATTGCGCTGCGATAGTACCTGCACCATGAAGATTTTTTGTGCCGCACCAAATTCGTTAGAAATTGGGCAGGTTGTATTAATTACACGTATAATTATGGACAGTAGGGAAGAGTTACATTAGTTGATAGAAATAGAAGAGTTGTTGAAACAAATAATGTGGAATCAAGCAGTTATTGACAAGGGAAAGGGGAAAAGTAAGGGAATGTTGAATTTTATGAGAGAATTAAGTAAAATATTGTTTGGGATAATGGATGAGGCTGACACAATACATTGTAATGAGCAGATAAAGTTATTTGAGCAAAATACAGAAGATAAACCACTTTCATGAAGCAGCAACTGTATTTAGTGAACTCTGCCCAAGGGGCAATTAATGACACCCAAACAAATGTAAAATATAATGAACGGGTACTTCAGGAGGGAGTTCGTAACATCGCTGATTTTGTGGATGCTCTGAAATCAGGAATATGGGAGATAACTGACACATTAAGTTCAAAGGTTGAAATTGAAGGACAAATTTTGAGGGTCAGCAACACTATGCAAGCATTGCAGTGCATACTGGTTTTACTAACTGATAGTGTAGAAATGCACGGGGGGGGGGAGGTTAATTCACTTAGGGGCGTAGTCCTAATTGGGCCCCCTCGGCACTGCAGCCACTGATTGGCCTATTGTAGCCAGCCCTGGGTGATTATGATGATGGAGAATTTGGTGGAATGAAGATTGCAGGGGAAACCAAAGTACTCGAAAAAAACCTGCCCCAGTGCCACTTTGTCCACCACAAATTCCACTTGACCAGACCCAGGATCGAACCCAGGCCGCTGCAGTGGGAAGCCAGCAACTAACTGCTTGAGCTATGGCGCGGCCTTAGGGGGTTGTTACAACCTCGGATTATATTGTCATACTTGCTGATGGAAGAACTAATGCAAAGTGTATCCGCACTTCTGAGAGGTGGAATGTTCCCTTTCCCATTGAGTGAGGGCTCAGCTTACGAGTATTTAGTATTAAGAGTGTGTAATTTACAAATTTATGTAAGTAATGGAGTCCTGGTGTAATTTACAAATTTATGTAAGTAATGGAGTCCTGGTGTATGTGGTCCACATCGCCTGGGTGAACAGGTCTCAGTTTGATGTATATAAACTTATTCTATTCCAAAGTCCCTGGATCAAACAGAGTTTACATACTTAGATACTAGAAACCCATTTGTATGGTTTGATCAAGTAAGAGAGACCCCGTCTGTGGTCTAGTGGTCATAGTTCCCGACTACAGATCCAGATGTCCCAGGTTCGATTCCCGGCGCTACCAGATGTTCTGAGAAGTAGTGGGTCTGGAATGGCATTCACTCAACCTCATGAGGATAATTGAGGAGCTACTTTAATGGAAAATTACTGGCTCCGGTCTAGAAAACCGAGATTAACAGCTGTGGGAATCCATTGCGCTGACCACACAACACCCTCTATCTGCAAAAGTTGGCACTAACTTTGCCGACAATGGGTGGTTAGTCGTTCGGTATAGTTTGCTTGCAGATGAAAGCCATGGAGTTTGTTGTTTTGTTTGATCAAGTAAGAGAATATTATTTCATGACAGACAAGTATTGGTTAGATACATGTAAAGAACTAAATGTAAGATATGATGTGCTATTGGAAAGTTACCAGACTGTTATTTTTGTGACTGCCTCCATGAAAGAAGATGAGAGGGGAGGCCAAGGTCACCTTCTGATGACATAATGGTCTACATAACTAGCTGATGATGCTACTACTTTCCTATAGTAGACAAAGTCTATGGGCATATTGACACTGAGGAATGATGTCCCAAGGATGGACCCTCTCATCATTTCCTTTTAGCTGCTATGCTTCCCCCTTCATCATAATTACCTGTACTCCCTTTCAATCATCTGAATACTCTGTCCCAGAAATATTAGCAACAATAACACTATGATGATTTTCATTAGCTGTGAGGGAGGGAGGGGAGTACAAAACTGTGATAATGTGGTCAGATTCAAATGCTGTTGAAGTTGAGGCCCCATTTTAAAAGTCTGCGAATGAATAAGCATTTGGTCATGAATCATGACAGGTCCCAAAACTAAGAATGCAGCAAATCACTTCCCTGCACTGCAGTCATCCTTATCATCCATAGGACTTCTTTCCATAGTCTGAGTGAAAATTTTGTTGCACTAACCCTCTCAACCTCGTAGCATCTGACTTGTTTTGTGTTTCCTTTCATGATCTGCAGACTTCGTAATGTGGAGATTGATGAAGGCAGAAGAGAAAGACGAGTACATGCACATGGCGCACAAAGCACATTTAGAGTACCACGGGAAGAAATTCCTAGTAAGTGATTTGCTACAGTATTTGCTTAAGTCTTTATCATCTGTAATTAAGCTTTTACCCTTTTAAATTTGTCTGCTATATTCTGTATTCCTTTCCAGGCCTATGTGTTGTTGAGTGATGAATCAAGGCAGACTTTTAATGTTGTCTCCAATGAAAAATTGCATAAATAGTCAGTTGTGTACTGTCTCCCTTTTATACTGTACTACACTTAACATATCCGCATCAAAATGTCAGGACTCAGAGAGTAGACACGATGCACTGATACAAGAGGCTTGCTGTTCCTATGTGATGAACTATGTCAGGTGTCAGTGCTTGACAGTTTGTTTCTACATGAAACCCAAGTTTCATAATTGCTTATAAGTTTAATACCTGCAAAACTTTCTATATATAGGGAGAATGAATCAAATATTGAATTTCTCTTGCATAGCCCAAATTAAGTGAGAGACAATAGCTTAGGTCTGTCCAGGAGTTTCGGTAAAACTGCATAATGAGGAGTTCCATGTCCCCTACCATAATTAGGATGGGTTAGTAAGAGCTTGAACATGCAGGGGAGAAAGGAGTAGTGCATATAGAATTTTTTTTGGAAAGCCAGAGAGCAAGAGACCACTAGAAAGACATTGACATTTTTGGGAGGATGCTATTAAATTTAATCTTAGGTAGAAAGGAGTGCTATAGACTGGGCCAATATGAGTCAGGTTAGCAACAAGTGAAGGGCTCTTGTGAACACTGTAATGAACCGTTGGGTTCCACGAAATGTTTGGAAATTCTTGAGTAGCTGAGTGACGGGCCTCTTGCCAAGGACCCAGCTCCAGTCTAAGAATACTTGCTTATCGGGTTGAGATTCAAAGCAGAATAATGAGTGAGATTGATCAGTTTTGATGCCAGATGGCAGCATATAATGCCGTTAATCAGATTTCTAACTCAAAGTTACATGAATTACCTAGGTAAGTAGTCAGTAAGTAAGTTACAAATGGATATAGAACTTAAATAAATAAGAGTACTGATTTGAGAAATGCTTTTATTTCTCAGCGTAATCTCCCTGTACATTGAGACACTTGTCCCATCATTTCACAAGCCCCTGAAAACCCCACAACACAAAATGCAAAGAATGGGTCTGGCATTGCAGCATCTCAATCGCTACCACGATGATGGACACAATGTGCTAACCCGAGTTGTCACAAGTGATGAGTCAGTGTTCACCATTACGAGCCCGAGACAAAGTGTGCATCAATGCAGCGGAAACATCCTGCATCGCCTGCCAAAATTGTTTAAGGTGACACCATCCTCCAAGATAGTGATGCTCACTGTCATCTGGGATCACGAAGGCATACTGCTCACCACATTCCAGCCTCAAGAACAAACTGTAAATGCCGATTCCTACTGTAACATTCTCAGGAAACTTTGTAAGGCCATTCAACGGAAGTGCCCAGGACTCCTCAGCAAAGGCGTGTTGCTCTTGCATGACGTGTGTCCCCATACTACCAAGAAGACAAATGAGGTGCTGTGAAATTTCAAGTGGGAAGTCCTCGACCATCCTCCATATAGCCCCAACGTTGCTCCAAGTGACTTCTCTTTGTTCGGGCCTCTTAAAAATCTTTTCTCTGAACATTTTCCCGACAATGAAGCTGTAGAAAGGGAAGTCCCCGCCTGGTTCCGACAGCAGCCCAATGAATTTTATGCTGCTGGTTTTAGGGGCTTGTGAAATGATGGGACAAGTGCCTCAGTGTACAAGTAGATTATGTTGAGAAATAAAAGCATTTTTTAAATCAGCACTCTTATTTGTTTAAGTTCTATATCCATCTGTAAATTGCTTAGTGACTTACCCTCATACTTCGTATGGATTCTGGATTTACTCTCATACACACATGAGAGGTCTTGAAGTGCTGGAAGTAAATGTTATGACTCTCTAGATGTTTATGATGACACCTGATTCAGTATGTTACTGCTATATTAGATGTTGTCCATTCAAATATATTATATAAATTGGAAGTTTCAGGAGTTTCCTGTGCTCCCATCTTTAGGTAATTGTCATTATAGGTCTAGTAACATATTTGTTATTAGCTTACTTTTTTCTTGGGGGGTAAAAGTGAGGCCTGTCAGACCTCCATGATGTCTGTGTGTTTCTGCCCCAGTTTGAGTACTGAACTAGCCATGTGGCATGCACAAGAGAGGTGAGATATGTTTACAGAATTTTAGTTGAAAAACATAAAGCAGAGACCTAACCTTAGATGAAATGTGGGAAATTTTGGCTGTCTGATTTGCTGCACGCTTCTCAAGATGGACTTGGCAATGCCATAGCTCAGGCGGTTAGTTATCGCCTTCAGAACTTGGCGTCATGGGTTTGATCCAAGGTCAGGTCATGTGGGATTTCTGGTGGACAATTGGGGGGGATTTTCTCTGGGCACTTAGTTTCTCCTGCCAATCTGTATTCCATCAGCCGCTCAGTATTGAGGGAGTACTGTGCTGTACATAGTTATCAAGTACCTAACTAATGATTAACAGGATGCTGTAATTCAGTTTTCTTTCCCCACATAATAGTAAATGGTGGATGTATTTCAGGTCTACAGTGTGGACAGGATGACCAACATTAACCATTAGATGAACTGTTCAGAAGCGGTCCATTTATTTCATGAGGAAGTCCCAGAAGCTGGTCCTCTGATAAACTGTGGTGATTGTGTGGACAGTAAGTCATCTCACATGCAAGAGAAGAATGAGAAACGTATTGTCTACTGGGTAGTTCTTGAGTGTGGAACTTGGTCACTTGCTACAACTGGTTGTTCTTGTGAACCTTGTGGACTTCCCACAAAATCATTAGTGATATGCACTCCATCATGAAGGCCACTAAGGATTGGACCATGGGCTGTGGCAGGATAATTCCTGATAATATGTTCACCTCCAGAGCAGAGTCTACATTTCACACCTTGTCCAGTAGTGGGCAGAGCCAGAAGACAACATATCATCACCTTCTGAGGATCCAACAACAACTACAAAATGAAGGAAACACAGGCTCACAAATTGGTTCTCCAAAGAATTACTATGATCTCTTGAAGGTGTGGTGTAGCTGCTTTGCCAAATATACCTTTTAGTACAGCTATACACCGACCCACTGTGACATCATCAGTGACCTTTTCTGTAATGGCAGCAACCTTGTCTGCCACTAATACAAGAAGAATTGGAGCACGATAAAAGTTCCAGAACAGAAACAGCTGACCCCTGCTTGGTGTTGTGATGTCATTTCCAAACGAACTTTGTTATTTATCTGATGTTGACACCGTTCTTTCGTGAAGATGACATATCAAGTGGAAATCTTTTATACAGTTCTTGGGTATCCCAGCATGGAGACAGTCGTTGCCATTTCTCCAGCTGCCTCTCAAATAAGCTGCAAATCAAAGATAATTTTTGAGGTAAGCTTTTGACAATATGATTTGAACGATACTTAGGATGATATAGGAATAGCAATTTGTTGCATGGTAATCAAAGGTAATTTTTTTTCCATGCATTGTTCCAGGGAAACTTCTGGGAAAAGTAATGGAAGCTGTGGTTAAAGCTTTACCATCCATAGCAGTGGTGTTGTGACAGTTGGAAGACATCTTGAATTTAACTAATGGTGAGTAGCGTATTGTCTTGTGTTAGTGACTAGACATGTATTCTTTGCTTATTGGATTTACTGAACCCTTAAATTAGTCTGATTTAATTTACATGCTTTAGAAGCAAATATGGCATGCACTAAATCTCAGTTTGTTATAGTCTTCACTGGTTGCTGATATGTTACTTCAAAGTCACATTGCGACCAATGGCCAATTTGTCTGTCTTGGTGCTTAGTTAATATCTGACAGTTGCGATTTTTTTCAGTATAGGTAAGGTTACCATATTTTGAAACTTAAAAATGAGGACACATTACGAGGGTTACCATATTTTGAAACTTAAAAATGAGGACACCATACATACAAATCGAGCCGTACCAGCCCCTATGTAACTTCTAACACACACAATTCACACAATGGTCAATGATACAAAGTCATTTACTTTCAAACAATTAATGTAAAGTCACTTACTTCATTATTTGATATACTAAACTTGGAATGCATAAAAACTTTAACCCTTGTTCCCCGAAGGACACCGTATGGGGACCTTTAAAGTAAAGCCGAGTGGCCGAAAGACACCGTGTGGTGACTTGCAGTCCACGCATACGCACAGTGTTTTAAAATCTGATTTTAAGATAGAAATTCTTGTTCAACTTACATTATTTTTGGACACCAGCTTTGTAAGTAGACTGTCTTCCCTCCTGCATCATCTAACTGAATGTTGCATGTCACTGAATGCAGAGTCCGACGTCGCAATTCATGCACTTTGTCCGTAATTAACTCTGTTTTCCATGCGAAGCGTGCACATGCAATGTTAGTCTCGTATTAGCAGGAAGTAGGTCAGTGATGGCGAGTGGTCTCCTATGTTCGTAACGCTTATAAAACATCGCAATTTCAACTATGAACCATGGCCCCTTTTCACATTGAAAGAGCTGAAATTGAGAGGCCGCTCGTAAATCACACCATTCAGAATGTGGTACATAAGACTGAAAGCACGTAGAAGAAAGGGGCCATGTGCGGGCCTCTCTACATTATTTTTGTTCACCAGCTTTGTAAGTAGACTGTCTTCCCTCCTGCATCATCTAACTGAATTTTTCATGTAACTGAATGCAGAGTCCGATGTCGCAATTCATGCACTTTGTCCATATGTAACTCTGTTTTCCACGCGAAGCATACACAGGCAACATCATTCTCGTATTAGCAGGTAGTCAACCAGTGTTTCTGATTTGCCTTCTCTAATCATAACGCTTATAAAACATCGCAATTTCAACTATCCCCCATGGCCCCATTTCGCATGGAAGAAGCCGAAGTTAATAGGTAGGTGATAAATGTCACCGATTTAGAATGTGGTACAGAAGACTGAAAGTACGTAGAAGAAGGGGCCATGTGCGGGCCTTTCTAAGAAGCATAACAGTACTTCTTGTGTGGCAGATACATATATACACAGAAAGTCTCAGAGGGAGGTGACCTCACTCCTGTATACAGAAGGGTTGGAGTGCTATAAAAGCATAAACATTTCCTCCCCTTTTGAAGATAAGCGAGTACCAGAAGGAATTATGTCAGCAGCAGGCATTTATACTGCATAAACGTTTTGTGCAGAAACTGACTGCAGTTTTGTGGACAGACGCTCAAAATTGGGGAAAAAATTCTTTTGGAGTCAGTGTAACAATTTTTACAGATTCTAAAACCCGTAAATTACAATATCTGATTCTATATTCTTTCTAGATAAAAGGAGCGTTTATTTTGTTTGTTTATCACAAAGATTGTAGAAATCACAGCATTTTGAGTAACATGATTACAGTTTTTATTACTCTACAGTGGCGGGCATTTAAATTAACTCCGTCCCGCGGCCACTACCGGAATTTAAATGGCCCGTCCCATAAAGGTTAACAATACACTTAATTGTGCAATCAAATTTCAATCACTACAATACATTTAGGCCTATAATTGTTCAATTGAAATCCAGTCACTATGTTCCATCTTAACAGACCATGAATATTTTTCTGTTGACATAATTTCTTTTAAAATGTCAGGATGTTTCAGCAAGTATGGATGAAATGCAACACAGTTGAAATGATGAAAGTTGCATTTCACCATATCTAGTCCTTTCACTGTCTCCACAGCGAGACGATTCCTCTCCTTAGACCACTGCATTTCAGTTAAAGAGAACAGACTTTCCACATTAGAATTATGTGCGGGAATAGGAAAGAAGAGCTGTGCTATTTTCAGGAGCTCAGAGTGACACTCAACACTTTTTGATGATTTGAAGTACTGAGACCATTTTTCATGGAATGGTGCTGACTTCGTTCCCTCATTATTATATGTAGCTATGAATGTTTTCAGATTGCAGAATTGGTTGAAACACTTGCTATCATCAATGTCAATTCCTTTATCCATCAGGTACTTGATGATGATGCCATTTCTGCCCATGAGAAATTTTCAAGTTGCATCCATTTGAAACACGAAAACTCCTCATATGGTTCAATCCACATATCCAAGTATTCCAAGCAACCATTGTACAGATTTTTGACGTCACTTAGAAAATGTTTAGACCCTGCTTCCAAGCCTTCATTCTCTCTCTCTTGAAATAGAGCCTTCACCTTCAGTGACATAGAGTTTTGCATTTTTCTTTCTTGTAGGATGTTGTGCATATCAGATAAGGTATTCAGGATTTCAAGCACAGAATTCTTTCAGAATTTCCCTTTCAATAGACTCAGTATGGGAATGAAACACACACATTAATGAATGGAGATGCTAGAGATATATTTCACTAAATGGGTCACTGAAAAATTTCTTGAGAACCGCTGGCGACTTGTTCTGAGATAAGAATGATTTTAGAACTGGGAACATTTTTTATAAGTCTTTCAATTGCTGGGAATAATGAAAGCCAACGAGTCTTGGAGTGATGCAACAACTGTTGATACTCAATGTCAACAAACTCACAGAACTGTTTAAGAGACTCTACGCTAAATATATATATAGAAAAATAATTGTACACCTTTAGCACAATTGATTCTATGTCAGTTTGTAGAGTGTCTGTGCCATGCTGCATACAGTTGTTTAAGACGTGTGCAGGGCACCCAACCCCTATCCTAGAGAGCGATTTGCAAACACATTCCTTCCACCTCCCTTTTTTAGACCACCAAACATAGTGTGGCAATTGTCACCTGCAAATGCTACACATTTACTTAGAAGACTATGATTACTAAGTCTCTCACTAACATACGCAGCAATTGCAGCTGCTGTTTCATTTGGTTGACCTTGCACTTCCAATAACTTTATTTGCAGTCCGTCATTTTCATAGTCGAAGTACTGGACCATTAATGGAAATACCTTAACCGTGCCATGGTCACTTGCATTCGTAGATACACCACAGAATGGAATGCCCTGCAAAGATTCAATTAGTTCCTTTACTGAATAAGGAGCTAATACTGAGTTAACAACTGCTTCTGTTTTCGTACGAGCAATTGATGTTTTTTTTTTTAGCTATTTCAGAGTCATTAAACAATTCTCTTAAGTAATTTAGATGTGCAGTCCATGGACTTGTAGCTGTTGTGGTGTGCTACAGTATGGAAAGCAAGTGTGCCTTCTGGAGAACATACATTTTCGTCAGTTTTGGTATTAGGCATGAAATATTTAGTCATTTTTTCAGAAGAACTCTCCCCTCTAATATTCTTAGAATGTTTTTCGGACTTCATGTGAATTTTTAAATCCCCGCTTCCTTTGTTGGCTATGGAGACATATGTCCCTGGAGTACTACAGATCATGCATTCTGCTTCGCATTCCATGCGACCAGAGCAAAACCACGGGTATTTTTTCTTCATTTCATGTGTGAATTTGCACTTTCTCTTGGGCATTATTCTCTTGAAGTAGTGTTATAAAAAGATAAGGAAAAAATCATAACCAATAATGTGTAACGCTGATCGGCATATAAGATTAAAAGTACGGTTATATATTGTACCATTCTAATTTAGTATCTCTATTCCTACCTGTTATTGATTTCCTTAATTGTTTAAAATCACAAAACACGCTTATTTTAGATTACAACTTATGACGACACGATGTTAAACGACTCTACAACACATGTGAAAACCAACCGGTAAGTGAAGCAATCCTGCAGTCCAGACTAAGGAACGGGAAGTGAACATCGATTAGTCAAATGAATACTCCCTTTGCAAGGAGAAGATACATGAATAAAGCAAAGATGCTAGGCAAAAAGGAGAAGAAAATTGAAATACGGCCAACTTCCGGACATTCGCCGTAATTTTGTAAATTCCTCCCGGACGTTAATTTACCCCTCAAAAATGAGGACGTATGGTAACCCTAAATATAGGATGCCCTCTCTGATGATGGAATGGGTGTGGCATTTGTCGTCATTATATTCTTAATTTTTTATAGTTTACACATGCAGTACATGGTATAATCAGGTATGTGTGTGTATGTCTATATCTACATACACGAGGTCTCTAGTCAGTCCAGGTTGAGAACAGCAGATGATGCCGTATTTTAAGTAGCTCATGCTACAATGGCAGCCTAGTTGCTTGAATGGTTGTATGCTTGACCACTGCCAAGTTTAAGCCTCTGTTGCTGCGATAAAAATGGTAATTTGGAATACATAACCTCTTATGTGGTTTCAGATATGCTTTGAAAACAGATCCACGTCTATGTGTAGGTTTCACCCCTCATTGCTGAAGCTCATAGTGCTGCCTCCCAGTGCCATTTGCATTAAATGCTATGATTTTGAGATATCCCATTGGTCCTCATTATATAGTTTAAGCATGTACCTCACAGAAGACATTGTTTGTGGCAGTTTCTTCAGTGATGCTTGATGTACGAAGGACGTTCCATATATGATGCCTCCTATTTTTTTGTGTTAATCTGTACGTTTACAAGTTGTTTCATATTTTAGTATGGGGGTGCATTCCTAATTGGTTCTCCTCGGCCACTGATTGGCCTATTGTACCTGCCCCAGGTGATTATGATGATGGAGAAATTGGTGGAATGAAGGTGTTTCCTAGTTACTAGAATGCCGGAGGCATATTATTATTATTATTATTACTTTTTATATATATTTATTTTCTTTCTTTCGCTCGTGCTCACTTTGTAACTGGTCCTTGGGCTGTTGAGTTGGCACACAAAGAATTTAACTGAATTATTATTATTACTGTGCACTAGTTCCTCATTTACTGATCAGGGTGGCCGCGCAGTCTGGGGTGTGGGCTGTCTTCGCCTGCTCGAGTACTGGGATCGTGGGTTCGGGTCCCACTCGCGGCATGGACATCTGTGTGCATTTATTTTGTTTTGCCCCTGTCGGGGGATTCTGGATGAAATGTATCCAAAATAAAAATTTATATGTAGGAAACTAATTTTCATACTTAGTAGCAATATTGACACCACAGGAACAGGTTCAATGCTTGTTGAGGCTAGCAGAGTTGCAATTTCCTATGACCGTCCAGCGTTGTTTTATAACGTAATATGTACGTCAACATCCTACATGGAAAAGAATTCGGTTCTGGGGCAAAAAAAAAACTGAGGTCTATAGGTTGTCTGTTGTGTGTGAAATCTCCTGGAAAGACATGGAACTCTGAAGAAAATGTCAGTCGCATTAAAGAGCCATTCCA